TGTAGGGTAACTTTCGTAATATTCTTTTTTGATTTTTTATGGATTCGAATAAAATGGATATCTTTTGTCTTTGTACAATTTTGTTTCATAAAAAGTACACAAAAGGAGCATTTGCAGACACCTTATTTTGTTGAAGATTTCTTCAAAATTCATTGGACTTTGAATTTTGATTTAATTGTACAATTAGCCCTTAATACAAAAATGAATTTTAGGCCAAGGATTAAAAGCCCAAATTTTTCAATTTGTAATTTTTAATTTTCAATTTCAATTGTAATTTTTTATTTTTGATTTTAATTTTGATTTTAATGTATTGATCAAAAGTAAAAAAAAAAAAAAAAAGAGTCAAGAAATCAAATAAGAAAGCATGGGATTTTACAGGAAAAATCTTGGATTCAATTAAACTTTTGGATTTTATCTCAGACTTTAACTTTAATGGTTAAATAATTTTAAAAAGATTTGAAGCTCCATCTATTGAAAAAAAAAACATTACACAGAGAGTAAAATTTAGAAAGAAATCTTAAATTCAGTTGAATTAATTTCTTTCTAATTGAAAGGGATTCAATCCTTATATAAAAAGACCTTCATAAAACCAAGAAAAAAGCAACAAGTAATATAGAAAGCAATCAAAACCAATAAGCAATTCAAAGCCAAATTCCACAACACAAATAGCAAGATCATTCAGTGCAAAAGCAGTTTTTCAACAAAAAACAAACAGTAATCAAGAAGCAATTCGACAATAAAAAGAGTAATCTAGTAGTAACCAAATTAAGCAATCCTAATGCAATTAACAGAAGCAATTCAAACAAGAAGAATCAATAGACACACAGTCAACAATTAAGCCCACTAAACCCAGAAACAACCTTGCAAGTCTAAAACCAATAGAGAGCAATTTCAATAGCTTCAAAACCCTGAAGAAAGTTATCCCACAATTCCCAGTCAACCAGAACTCAACAAAGCCATAACAAACAAAAATAGAAACAATTTATAGTGGGATTTTTTTGTTTCTTTTTGGGTTTTAAAATAGAGACAAAAAATGGAGAAAGGAGGCACTGCTGGCAGTACAAGGGATGGTGGCAACTGTCGATTGGTGATTTCTTAGGTGAAAACAAACATGACGGGCAACAAGATCGATAGTGAAAGGTGGTTTCTAGGTTAGGCTTCTAGTATTCTTGAGTTTGGAATTTTTTAAGAGAATTTGAGGAAAAGCTTTTAGGAAAAAAAGAGAGGAACACGAGGGTGGAATTTTGTGGCGAAATGATGTGGTAGCAACACTGGACCATTATCGGATTCTAGATTCTTTTAAACTTTTCAGTTAGGTTTTTAGAGAGAAAAGAGATAAAGAACACAAGAGAGAGTGGTGAGGCAAAGGTAGAAGAAAAGGCATGATAATTTTAACCAAATGGCGCCATTTTGTAAGTAAATGAAGAAGTTTGACCCATAATGACCCATGTATAAGGTGACCTGATTGCTTTAGTAAATTTTAAAATCTTTTATTTTCTTTTCATTTTTTTATCTATTTAGGTCATTCATATTTTGATTTTTTTTCTTTTAATTGATTAAAAATAATAATAATAAAGAACTCTTAATTTTTGCATGGTTTGACTATTAATATTTTATTTGCATGATTATTTATATTATTGCATGATAGTTAATATATTTGCATGATATTTTATATTATTACATGATAATATATTTGTATGATTATTATAAACTATTGCATGATAATTAATAATTTTTGCATAATATTTTATTGTATGATTTATTGCATGGTATGACATTTATTACATGGTATGATTTCATATTTATTACATGATATTTTTAATTAGTGCATGATTGCATGATATGATTTTTTGATAGAATTTTTGTATTACTGTGTTGTGTAAATAAATAAAAGGATTGGAACTAATTTATTTGCATGATAAAAAATTATCTTTTATAAGGCTTAGGTAAGATAACACATAATTAATTTAGTACTAATTTTAGGCATAAAAGGGAGCTAATACCTTCCCTGTACGTAACCAACTCCTAAACTTTAGTTCTGTTGATGTAGACCAGAACTTTTTTTTTTTTTAGAGATCCTTAGTTTACACTTAGGATAACCTTAAAAAAGATAAATTCATATAGGTGGCCAATCACACTTAGATAAAAAATATTAGAGCAACTTCATAGATTTTGTGTCTAATGGGTTGGTTCTTGGACATAAATATCATGACAGTTATCAAAAGCTTAAACTAAAATCTATAAAAAGAATAGATTTTAGTTAATATAAATAGAATTACGTTCAAGAGTCGATTACATATAGGAAAAGTTATAACACCCTCACAATACTCAAAAATTGGTACCAAATTAGTCTTATATTATCTTACCTAAGCCTTAACTAAAATAATTTTTATTAATTTCGATATTTAAATTTTAGAAAAAGTTTTTATGCTTTTACCTAAACAGAAATTTTCTTTATTTCAAGAGTATTTAAGATAAATTCATTATTTACTTGAAGAAGCTCCGTCATTGGATTTATAAAATATCTTATAACAAAGAAATCAATTTATCCTTTTTATTTATTTACAAAATCATACAATATATTACAAAACTAATCACACAAAATATTACAAAAAAATCCTATAATCATAATAAAATCATACAATACTAGAATAAAAAGTGTCATAAAAATCATGCAAAAATATCATAGCTTAAAAATTATTTCAAATTTCTTTTTTTTCTTTTACTCATTATTTCCAATTAAGTGAAATTTTAAATTAAAGGAATGAAAATAAATTAAAGGAAAAAATAACAAGAAAATAGAAAATAGAAAACAAATTAAAAAACCCATGATCGAATTAGGTTGGAAATCAGGTTGACATACAAGTCACATCGGGTTGAGGTGTAAATCTACCCTTCCTAAAACAACATTGTCTCGGCTTTGGTTTAAATAGACCAAATCTTTTTTTTTTTTTAAATTACAGTTCTTCTTTCTCTCTTTTCAACAAAACTCTCTAGCTTCTTTCTAAGCGCCTTACCGAAAACTTCAACAAATTCCAAATCCTAACCAAAATTCTAAATTTTGGTGTTAAAAATTTTAATTAGTCACCAAAAAGTTGAACAAACCAAAAAATCTCCACAAATTCCAAAAATCGGTCACCTCAAATTCCCTTCAACCACGACACACCTTGTCAAAAAATTCAAATTAGCCATCAAAAAATTAAAAAAAATAAATCAAAAACCTAAAAATTCAACCAAAATAATCTGAAATTGAAAAAAAAACCCAAAAATATCCTTAAAATTCTTTTTACCAAAAAACCAGAGAAAAAAAATCCTAAACAAAACTCAAATCTCGATATCAAAGTAGAACCCAAAGTTTTTTCTTTTGCTTGCTTGATTACTTTACTGCTTGATTATTGCTGTGTAATTGCTTGATTACTCTTTTCTATCTTTGTGTGCTCATGAATTATTCTTGTGATTATGGTTTTTATATAGGGATTAAACCTATTTCAATTTGAAAAATCCTGATTGATCGAATCTAGCTTTTGATATTTTCAAAATTCTTTTTCTTTTTTCAATAATTAAAGCGTCCAAATATTTCCTAAACAAATTTAGCCTTTAAATTGTTAATCTAAACAAAATCACAATATTTGGATTCCTGATTACCCTTTCCCATATTTTCAATTCTGGTTTTCTATTTTTTACCAAAAATAAAGAAAATAAATGAATTAAAAACTTTTTTTGTTACCTTGCCTTGGACTCTTTTAACTTTTTTTACCAAATAATAATGATAATAATAAAATTAAAATGGAAATAAAAAATAAAAATGAAATACAATAATAATAAAAACATGAATAACAGTACTTGGGCTTTTAATTTTTAGGTTAAACGTTTAGCTCACAATTAAACTTCAATTGAATAATTTCATAACGCATTATCAAAATAAAATTCAAAATTTATTAAATATTGAAAATTTTTTTAACAAAATAAAGTGCCTATAATGGTTATTGTACCATTTTTTACATTGATAGCCTTTTCAACCATGATGCATGTGTTAATTTTTTTTTCTTCGGTCAGGCTCAAAATTTTAATTGGATCTTTGTACTCTTTTTTCCCTTGTCCATTTATGTTTTATGGGCCCAACTCTCATACTCTTAATTAAGCTTTTCTACCTTGAATGGATTATTTCGGCTACGTGGAGCAGCCATTATTAGATCAGTCTCAGGCATGCACATTGAAGTTATGGACACAAAGCAAGATCATATTTAGGAGTGTAACTTGGGAGGCATAAAACGAAATTAACATTAACAAATTTGTTACATTTAATATTAGTTTATTTAATTAATAAATTTTAAATTTTTATTTGCAATCATTTATTAAATTTAATAAATAAATATAAATAAATGTAAATTAAATATATTTATAAATTATTTGATTTAAATAAACTTTTATCATATTTATAATATGTTTATTTAATTAATAAATTACAAATTATTATTTATATTCATTTATTAAATTTATTAAATATAAACATAAACAAATAAAAATTAAATTCATTTATGAATACAACTGTTCATAGAATGTTATTTATTATACCTCTATGCGAAAATATGAGAACTATTGGATCAGATCAGGTAAGATTTTTTTTTTTTACCAATTTCAGGTAGCATGATTGCTTTTCACGGGTCAATGGCAAGTTGGGTTAAATCATGAATAGGAGTGTAAATGATACATTAGTATTTGTAAGCTACTCGGGTTTGATTCGATTAAAACTCGAATTCGATTCGATATTTGTCGAGCTGAGCTCGAGCTCGAGTAGTTCGATTTATCAAACGAGCCGAATTTGAGTATATTATTATCCAACTCGAATAACTCGTGAGCCTAATTGAACTTTTATATTATATATATTTTTTATTATTTTATTTATAAACTTACTATTTTACCCTTAACCTAAAAACCCTAAACTTTTATTTTCTTCTTTCCCTCTTTTTCCTCGTCTTTCTCATTTCACAGAAAAACCCTCTACGGTAACCTGTCCTTAGTTTAGACCAGAGCCAACTCAAATCTAAGACAAATCAAAGTTGGAATATCCAAGACAAATCGATTCCACCTAGCGTTAACGGTGGATTATTAATCATTTTGGTAGGTTGCATTTTTACCCAGCTTTAACAATTGGTTGTTTGATAGTCATTATGGTATGTTTTTTGCTAGAAAAATAAAATTTTATTTCTGGTATGATCTTGTTTTTAGTTTTCTATCAAGCTGAATTGTGTTATAGTTGCTAGTAGTGTTTTGGTGAGGAACATAAGTTTTTCTCGTTACACTATTCTATAATATGAGGAAAAAGGAAAGGAGTGTCATTGGAGCTCACAACAAGTAACCATAAGCAATTTAGATGAATTTGAAATATTAGGCTTATTGGAGAAGAAAAGATGAAAAGTTGTTATTGAAGTTTATATCTTTTGTTTCATGTCCGTAGCATTTATAGGTCTTTTATGTTTCTATATCCACCTGTTATAGATGCTACTATCAGAAAAGTTTTGGTCACTCATCACTTATTATTAGTTTGATTTACCATATGCAGTTAACAACTTGAAGGTATCACACATTGCTAATTAGCAACTCATAAGTGCTCTCTTATGGTTCCAATTTGTGTGGTGTCCTCGGACATGGTCTTGTAATAACACAATGTGTAACATTTATGAGGATTAACTTCTCTTATCCACCCAGTGTGATCCAGGTGTCAGCTTCTCAGAATCATGCTGCATTTATTTTATAGTCTGGAGAGGTTTGTTACTCATTTCAGTTTGCCATGTTTTTAGTTGACAATAGCATACTTAGGGTGCATTTTGTCTATGATCCACACATTATCTTTCGCTAGCAGGTGATGTCAATTCTTTGTAATTTCTTATGCATGCTAGTGATTGATGTGGTTGTGAACGTTTGATCTAGCTGCCTTTGAAAAAGTTAAATGTTACCTTACTTGAATGCTGATAACAACAGTAAGTGTTATGATTAATGGCAAGCTTGCATTCTTTACCTTTGAGTAAATATATTCAGAGATAACTATTTAGAGCTGCATCCAGTGAATACTATTTGTCATTGACATGGTATCAAATGTGAATTGCAAATACATAAATAACATACCATGTAGCAGGTTGGCATGCTTTTGTAATGCATAGTTTGGTTGTTTGGGTTCTTAATGCATTGACTAAACAATTAGTGCTGTCTAATGAGAGATTTAACTAAAATACGAGTACCTAAGATGTATATTTTTGAAGTCTAGACTTAATCACTCTAGTTCTTATTTATTAAACAGCAGAAGTCTTTTAGTGTATTAAGTGCTGGATCAATTGCTAATATCTTGATTTAAATGAAATTCGATAATTCATTTATGAAAATGTGGACCTTACTGAATATTTTCTTGGGATTTGAAGGAGAAGGATTTTTAACAATGGCAAGCTCTTTATGACCTTCATATATTAAATTAAGGGCAAAAACGAGCTGAATCTAGGCTAGAAAGCAAAGTATATGAATTTATGAATCTGACTTGGTTATATAACGAGCTATGTTAGAGTATGGAAAGCCATCTATAAGCTTGCATTGCTGGCTCTGATGACTGATTAGTTGAGCAGGCCTTTGGTTGAAGTCGATTTGCTTAAGTGAAAAGCTTGAAATTGGCAGACTTGAACCAATCTTCATGCTTTGTTGAATGAGCTCAAGTGAGTTCTAGTCAAACTTGGCATGAAACAAGATCATGTTGCTTGATTGTTATACAGCTCTATAAACATGTTTCCTCATCCTTGAACATGCTTTGTGATCATTGCATTTAAGGTATATAAAGTTGTACTGTTTTGGGAAATGTTAGATGTTATACACCCAAATTCCTTGGTGTCACAAGTTTGTGGATGCATGCATATTTTATAGTTTGTCAATAATGAAATACATGTGTGATCAGGTTATCAAGTGGTTGCCATAATCATATATTGTTTTATGAATTACTTATATAGGTTTTCACATGTGGAGACAATTCATTTTTTTGTTGTGAACACAAAGCATGCTGCTGTGGTGCTGCCTTTTTGCATAACTACAAAATGTTTTTTCATAGTAAGTGAACTTTATAGTTGTAGCCATGATTCTTTTTTGTGTCTGATTATGTAACCATCCATGTAATTTCGTACAAAAACTTGATGATGATAAAGTCTTTGAGCATGGTCCACTTCCTATGTTTGTCCTATAGTTCTCTAGTCTCTATAACTGTTCTTAATTTGTCTAATGAAGCCCCAAAACACAATTTAAGGAAATGTCTAAACTGTTTAGTTTTGTTGGTTTCAAGTTGTACAAAACTTGCTATCATTTGAAAAGAGGCGATGGTTTTTAAGATAAGGACAGTGTATATTTCGCTTGGCTTGATTGAGTAAAGGAGAATGGCCTTCTATCTTATTTTCATCTATGATTTTTTCATGTATGATACTGAAACTAATATTTTCTCTTCATTGATAAAGAAACCTTGGAACTAGTCCCCTCCTTTTGATGTATTAAAGTTCAACGTTGATGGTTCAGTGAGTGGGGTAATGTGCTGCTGGAGTTCTTGATGAGAAGAACCAAAAGCTTAGTTTATTGCAAATTTGAAGGCTATTATGACAATGTTTTTGGATTCTCAATGTATCTATTCCTATGCCTTAATAATCAAAACTGATTATAGTAATTATGAATTCTCTTAAGAATCTTGAGTTCAAATTCGAACTCGAGCACAAATAATCGAGCGTTTATCGAGTATAAGAATTGAGGTTATTTTTATATATTAATTGAGCCAATTAAGCAAGCTCGAGCAGCTTGATTTCGATCACAAATCGAGCTCAAACTAAGAAAATTAAACTCGATCGAATTCGAGTCGAGTATCGAATCACGAGTTGGGAGTCGAGCTTGAGCTCGAACTTTTCATTGTATCGGCTCGACTCGGTTCGATTACACCCCTAATCACGAATCTTGTCATGGTTTACCACTTTCCAACCTGACTCACATTGAAAGAGGTAAACTTTTGTTTTAAAAAAATAATAAAAAAAAAACCTGACTTACCCTGCCAAACGTGACGCCCTCGTGACTCCAACGCTCAAGTATTGCGGCACTGATTTTCAGTCTTTTTAACTACAAAAAACTTGATCGGTAAAAGAAAAGGAGAAACTACAAGTCAAAAAAACTTGTGTATATGGTGCGTGAATGACATTCTTTAATGTAAGATGCACATGGATTCTAAGGTGCCTCAACAATTAGTTAATTTTCAAGTGGGTGACTTACACTAACGAGCATTTTTACATTTGAATTATATAACTTAAAGAAGTGAATATGGGTTTGCAATTAGTTAAAGTAATATTACACATGTAACAGACATGCATATCCAAAACTGTGGATTGCAAGAAGTCCGCAACTGAATAAGAGGAACCCATAAAAGAAAGGAAGAATTTTTTTCCAAGAAAAGAAGAAAGGAAGAAATTAAGTTAGCTAAATATGCAACTTAACAATTTTATTCTGATTTAAATATCAAAAGTGTAATTAATTCATCAATAATCATATTTTTTATTGATAAAATATTATACTTTTGATTTTAATGATTAAAATTTGAATCTCAATAACCTCTACTATTAAAAAAAAAGGTGCAATTAATTCATTTTTAGAGGACACCAAGGCAGTTCATCTAAAACTGTTAAAATCAAATCACCCAATTAATTTTATATATTGTGAACTCCAAGCATGTTGCTTTAAAATCATCAAAAGTGATTAAGAATATTTTTTTAGTTAAAGTATTTAACTAGGGTTTTTTTTGGGCCAAATTTAACTGGGGTTTATTGTACTGATCAAATGTACAATTACTATTGTGCAAGTGGGAAATAAAAATTAATATTGTATATGTGTTTCAACATTTCCTCATCCCAAAAAGAAAAATCAAAGTTCAATTAATCTCTCAGCAATAAAGAGGCAAGTTAAAAGAGGCCGGCGGCTGATAGAAGCGGTTTTATTTCCTGAACAGAAATTTTTTTTTTTTTTGTTATGTTTGTTATGCTGCTATTGAAAATCAAAATAATTGCACCAGTCCTATCATGAATTTAAGTGCACAGTTCCATGACAAACTATACTAAAAGCAATTAACTAACTACGTGAAGCAAGAAAGACCATACTGTGGACTCACTGGTTTTTTTTAAGTACCTTTGAACCAAGAAATTAAAAGTATATCCTTTCCCTAAAATCTGGTCACTGAATCCAGTGCACTTAAACAGTGTGATTTATAAATAGGAGAAACAAGAAAGGTTCTTATCTTTAGCATATTAAGACTGAACTTTAACAATGACTTTGCACTTAATTGTTATTAAACAAAAAACACCATTAATACCCATAATAATATTGAAACATTAATCATTGGTGTATTTACAGTCTCCTTCTTTATTAATATATTATCCTCTTGGGTTTAAAACTGATGCTAAAACAAACAAAATTCTTCTCTCCATCGTCTATCATCACAAGTTCTACCTCCCCTTGGAGAATTCAGAAAAGCCATAATATTTTGATAATGTAATTACTAAGTGTTTTTAAGAGGCGATCAAAACTTGATTTATATTTCCGCCAACAAAATTATGTTTCTCGAGATCATCACTACACAACTTCGACGGCAGTGTAATGAAAGCCAGGCAAATTCTCTTGCAGATCAAAGGTTAGCATGGAAGCCTTGGGCTTTTGTGGCCGGTCTGAATATCCCACCGGCAAAAGTGCCGGCGTTGTTCTCTCGTATGTTCCCAGCCACTTCGCTTGCATGTACTTGTGCTTTCTCCATGGAGCCAAGTGCATTTTTTTCTCTTTCATGCATTTTTTGGCTGCACCACATAAAATCTTGATCAATGCTTTCAGCCTCTCTGCTTTGCCAACCAATAGTTCCGGTAGCCGGGCGATTAACTTGTTGTAATCTTCGTTGGCCCTGGCCATTTCGAATTGAGCTCGGAAATTCAACTCGATCACGACCCTTACCTCTCCCTTTTTGCCGTTCGATTTGTCCAACACTTCTAAATACGTGTGCTCCCCTGAGGGAATTTCCGAGGACCTCCTCCACTTGGACTTGCGTATGTAACAATTGAAACCTATGTTTTGGAGACGAATCGAGAGCTCCCTTTGAAAACAGTTCCGACAACCTCCGGCCACCGGTCTCCGACAAGCGCATTGCACTCCCACCACATCTAATTCCCTCAATGCTTCTTTTGTAGCTTGTCGAATTCTTGATTCTAGAGAAGTAGTTCGGTACAATGTTGCCTACATGAACATTAATCACAAAAATGTTAATACTTAATCTTTAAATTCTCCAAGTATATGTTTTTATGTTTAAATATTGGACAACCTTTACCTGAAGAAGCTGTTCTTGGGCTTCCCAGAAAATCTTGTTCTGTTCAACCTGGATAGCATCCTCATCATCGTTAGGATTCTCATCACGGTCAACAAAGTCCCTCAAATTTTCCTCTGAATCATTGCTTCCGTCCAAAAACCCAAACATCATATCGGCAAAACTCGCCGCTCCCTCAAGGAACCTGTCAATTTCCTCTGAATTCTGTCGTGTCACCGGGATCTTTTCCATTTATCCGACCACCTCGATATTTGTTGGTTTCCTTTGTTAGGAATTTGCAAATTTTAAGGTGGCTACGAGTTTTGGTTCCCACCAAATTTATAGCAAGGCAGCTGCCAAAGCGTGTTGGGTCCTACGGGGGACCGAATTGTCCCAGGTGGACGAACGAACCACCGCGGACAGGGAAGGGTGGGGGGCCATTGCTTACGTGGCAAGTGATTATTGGGTGATGAGTTATTTACGGTGGACTAACGATTGACAGCTGCCATTCACGTCCGACTAACCAATAATTCAGCAGGGGAAGCAGTGTGGATAGGCTTGATATATACCAATGTTAGCTTTTTTATTTGGATTATTTTAATTCAACTGATTACTATTTCTTAATAGCAATGATTAGAGCTGGAAATTGTTGTTGGGTTATCCCAATCCCATCAGGTGGTGGGACCGTGAAAATGGAAATCAAGATAGATCAGCTAGTTATCACGTTGCAATGAGATGTAGAGTACACGTGGCTTTGTCTGGGACGTTGATGAGAAAGCTTATCCATTTTGAGTGGGACCTAGACCTTGTTAAGGTTATTTCAAAGTTACTAAAAACGGCCAAAATAGTTAATGAAAATTGGTGCTTCGTGTCATAATTTTTAAAATAAAAATTAATTTGTTTAATTTTAAAAAATTCAAAATTTATTTTTTTAAAAATAAAATATGAATTTATTTAAAAAATTAAAAAAAGTAACCAAAAAAAAAAAGAAATAGAAAAAGTTGCTTGCCTGCCTATCGGGGAAAGAGAAAGGGAAAAAAAGAGGGAAAGGAAAAAAAAGAGGATAGGGGGATTGGTGTCGGTCAATCGATATGGGGTGAATCGAGTAGGAATGACAATGGGTCAGGTCGGGATGGACTTTTGTTCGTTTCGAATTCGATTTGATTTTAAACATGTAAAACTCAAACTTAACCTTATTTGATAATTTTTTATTATTTTTATATCCGAACTCGTCTTGATCCGATATTATATAAAATCATATCCGATTCGATCCGATTTGAAATTAATAAAATATTATTTTTAATATAAATATAAAATTAAATATATATAAAAATATATATAAATAATTATAAAATAAAATAATTAATTAAAAAAATTATTTATATATATTGGGTAGGGTAAGGTCGGGTTTGTCTAAAACCCGACCCTAACTCGATCTTGATTTTTTCTTCATGCCACCGACCCGACCCGATATCCGATTTAAAAAAAAATAACCCTAAAAGATCATGTCAGATCGAAATGAAGTATTAAATATTTCAATTTTCAAGTTAAAGTTTGATTTATGTTCGATTTATTAGACGTAAATGCCCCCTAAGTATAATTATTCATGAGTTAGGTTGGGTCAAACTGGAATGATTTTTTGAAATTTTTTAAAAATTATTAAAATATATTAAAATATAAATATTTTCATACTTGTTTATATATCTTAAAATTAAATTTTAATAAAAATAATAATTTAACGAGTTAGACTCGAGCTTTGAAATCTTTGTCCGCTAGGGATGAGCCCACTGAACAAGTTTACCCCCTAGTATGGGCAAGGTAAAATACCTTTTTCAATATTTTCAAAATTATTTTTTGAATTCTTAATCAACCTTTAACCCATCTTCTTAACTTATTTAAGGAGAATATTATGCTTTTAAGTCTTCTATAACTTATAACCTTTAGGAGTTTGGCCAGCATTCATGCCATGTGAGCTAATACTAAGTTAGCTTATCAAATTATTTTTAATTATTTTTAATTCAATTATTTTTATTTTCTTTTAATTGTTTATGGTCCTTTTAAATACTCTAATAATGTATTAAAATTTTTATAAAAGTATATATTTTTAAAAAAGACCCTGATTCAAATTCCAATAAAAAATATTTCAATAATTAATCAATAATAATGTGTTTGATCAAATAAAAAATTATAATAAATTTCAAATAAAACAATACTCCAACTCAATTAAAAATTTTTATTTTATTTTTCAAAACACGTTTTTGATATTTTTGTGTAAAACAAAATTATATATTTTATTTTATTATATTTAAAATCTTATAGTTATGAAATATTTAATATTTTGTTAAATGTGGTTAGCTTAAAAAGTTTATTTGAATATTTTTTCTTTAAAGTAAAGACATTAAAATTAAAAGGGTTAAATATTCATTTGTTTCTGAACATATTTATTTTTGTCACATTAATATTTATAAAACTTTTATTCACAACTAGGCACCTACAGTTCTTTTTCAACAAGTATTTTACCCCAAAATATAACAATGTTAACTTGAATCATGACATGGCATCGAGGACCAATCATACATTGCCACGTTATTTTCGGAACATATTGCCATGGCATTACTTAAAAAAATAAAAATATGAAAAAATTTAAGAAATTCAAATAATGTGAAATTTTAGTTCTGAACTTAAAAGTACATAACAAAAAAATGAAGGCAAAGGAGAGAAAAAATGGTGGAGTGGAAAGAAATGAAAGAAAATGAGAGAAAGAGAAAGGAGAGAGGGTTGGTGTCGGCTAGAGTAGAGTGAGGTGGAGAAAAATGAGGTGGAAAGGGAGGAGAGGTTGGCCGGACGTAAATCTGATCAGGTTGAAGTAAATTGGCCAACCGACTTTGGATCGACTAGATTCGCCTTTTGGTTGCCTAGATGCGATCACTAGTAGGTTGCCCCTCCCTTCCCCTTCCCTTCCCATCTCTTCCCTATTTTCTTTCTTCGACCTATTTCACTCTTTTGTTTTTCTTTTTTAAATTTTTATTTTTATTTTATTTCAAAAAAGAAAATTAAAATTTTTTTATATTTTTTATATTTATTTTGACAGATAAAATAAATAATATTTTTTATTTTTTCAAAAATAAAAACTTTAATTATGAATTTTTATTTAAATTTTTAAATTTCCTATTTTTTATTTTTAAATTAAAAATAAAAATAAAATAATAACACATGGTATGCTTGTATTGACTAAAATTTACCACATCAGCATTTAACTAACACCATTTGTCAAAATCTTTTCCATTTTGGATGGAACCTTCTACCTTGTTAGGATATTTGAATTTCCATCAACCTAAAGTCATTAACAAAAATTGATAATGTGATAGTCGATAAATAAAAATTTGATGCACGTGTAAATATTACTTGTATAGATGACAGATAAGGATGGTAGTTCAATGCAAAAGTGATGAGTTTTTACTCGATTCGATATGATAGAACTAAATTTTTTTTTTGAAAAATCAAATTTGAATCAAGTTAGAGTGATTTTTATAAAAAATGTTTGGAGTTGAGTTAAGGTCAGATTTAGATGGAACCCGACCTGACCCAAGATAATTACGAAAATACCATTGATATATATATATAGCTTATTTTAAGGTTTACAACACACTTTTACCTTTGGTTTTCTTTTAACAGTTTCTTCACCTTCAATATTCATCTCTTATTTCTTCTTTTGCCTCCCTTTCTCAATCTTTATTTTTTTCATCTTGCATTTTTGCTTCTTCTCCCTCTCACTCTCACTCTCCATATCCCAACCAAAACCAAGTACCCTCATCCTCTCTCTCCTAGACCCATCCAACTAAGCCAAGCACCCTCATCCTCTCTTTCCTAAACCTATCCAACCAATGGTGCGTCGATTCTCATAGTCACAGGTTATCCACTTTTTTTGTCATTGCTAGACGCACTCTCACTACTATTCCATTTCAGTTTGTTACTTTATTCGGTCGCCTTCAAATCTATAGTGTTTCTATATTAGTATGCTTCTTTATAAAAAATTTTTAGTTAATTTCACCTCTAAGAATTGGTAAGATTTTTTTTTTTTGAAAATAAGAATTGGCAAGATTTTAAATTTTAATTATTAAATTTTATGTATTAAGTTTGAACTTCTAGATGATTTTATATAAATTTTTTGATTTTTTTTATATTTATATCATATTTTGCTAAGTTTCATGAAGTAATTTAGAATTTGTAACAATTTGTCAAATTTGAATTTGGGACAGGACATGTCATAATCAGGTTAACCTCTTTTCTTAACGGGCTGGAGTTGGGTTTAAAAAAAGTAAAAACCCGAGCAAGGATGGGTCAGGGATCGGGTAGAACTTACGAAAGTTGGGTTGGAGGCAAGGCATATAAAAATCCATCCCACCCAAACCTGTTATGATCCTTAATGACATGAAATTTATGTAATAATAATATGATAGTCACATGTCATAATTTTTAACAACAAATATTATTTTTTCTAAAATCGAGAAAATTTTTAAAATTTTTTAGAATTTAAGAAAAATTTTTAAAATAAATTTAAAATAAATAACAAAAAAATAAGAAAAGAGAGAGAGAGAGAGAGAGAGAGAGAGAGAGAGAGAGAGATTTATCAATGTTAGTCAGCCATACAGGGCATATCAAGGCTAATTTACTTCGAATCTAGTAGATCTACTTCAATCTATCATGAAGCAGTCAATCGGCACTTGTCACCACTCCCTATCTTTCCCCTATCTTCTCTTTCCCCCATTTCCATTATCTCCACGAGATTCCTTTTTCTTTTTCTTTTTTTAAATATTTCTTTTTTATTTTTAAAATATTACTTTTTAAAAAAATCTAGATTTTTACTTCAATCTATCATGAAGCAGTCAATCGGCACTTGTCACCACTCCCTATCTTTCCCCTATCTTCTCTTTCCCCATTTCCATTATCTCCACCAGATTCCCTTTCTTTTTCTTTTTTTAAATATATTTTTTTTTATTTTTAAAATATTATTTTTAAAAAAAAATCTAGATTTTTTGTTAAAAAATCATTATTTTGCTTTTTGGATTCTTATTGCAATTCTTTAGCTTTTTATGAATTTTAAAAAAATTTCAAAACATTTTAAAATTTTTATTTAATTTTTTTAAAAAAATTATGACATGTGACAATCACATGTTAATCACTTGTCATCTATGTATATAATATCTTTACACATGTCTAATTTTTATTGGTTGATGGCCACTTAGGATTTTTTGTTAATGATGTTATAGATTATGGTTACTTGATAGTCGAATAAAAAGTTAAGATAATCAATTAGATATTTTTTAATTAAACTATCATATTAGATTTTTTTTAAT